GACGTTTCGACATCCGTCGCGGATTCATCATCAGAGACATGAGTAACAGAAACAGGTCTTCGTTTTGCTGGCGTAGGCTCGAATAGACCTGCGTTTCATTATTAAAACTTAATCTACTCAGAATTTCTTTTTTGGTCATTCATAGAATTGCAAAAAGTCGTCTTTTTCCGCAAGTTTGCAACTTTCTGACCAGTTCTCTTTTAATCCCCCTTTTTTACCGGTTTAAGGGGTACTTCCAACTGAAGGCAAACCCTGGTGCCTGGTATCTGAACCTTCGCAAGGGCAAATCAAAGGATATATATAAAATGACGAGGTAAGTAGAGAATACTCTCTGTATGGCGTGCGTCTCTAACGGATGCCCCCCAGTGGATTTCATATTCGCATAATTTTACGAAAAGTATAGCCTTTGCTTCAGCCCACACCAACCTCAATGGTGATATCTTCATACCTTACCCCGGAACCATGCTGATTGCATGGAAGAGCTTTTCTCTCCGATGCGAGTTCTATATCTGAGTCAGTTTGAGGGGCTCTCAATCAAAACTACTATGCTATCGTCAATGTTCTCCCTTACTGATCTGTTCCTTGTCACTCAAATTTTCTGTCCCATGTAAGTTATGTTTGTTTGTGAAGGTTTAAGTGAAAATCTCAGTCAATTCTGCGTGCGTTTCGATGCTTACTGTTTGCGTCCTTCGTGATTTCTCCTGAGGTCGCGCAAATTTCGCCCTCGTCATCTTTATCGAAATTGAAGACTTTACCGACGGCAAACGTTAGTAGATGGGTCATCGACATCCGATGCTTCAATTGAGCACCGGAAGGTGTGATGGCGGGGTTTGGCGCTGCTGCTACCTTTCATGACACATGCCATGATCTTGTTATTCCGTCTGATCACGCGTTACCCGTTTTGTTCACCATATTTATTGTCCATTAATTTCCCTGTTGTCTTTTACATGCGTGCTCGCCATCAGTGGCATGAAAGAGGTCGTGGAGTTAGGCTTAGCACTAAAGTAGGTACAGTGGAAGGGATAATTGGTAAAATGTCACGAGTTTCCTTGTGGCGCGAAATCAGTCCGCGCCGCGTCCTCCAAAGTCTCGTAGAATTGGGGAGATAAGTGTTTTCACATAGAGAAGGTATCGTTTGGTTTATAAATTAAATATATAGTGAAACGAAAAATAGAGAATTTTCACCAAGGTCCAAAATTTAAACAAATGACTTTATTAAAAAATCACTTGAGTTAGGCTGCGCAAAAGCCTTCCCTGCTGTGTGAGTTCAACTCCCACAAAAGCCGCGAATTTTCCACAATTGGGTCAATCGAATTATTGAAATCTGCCACACCCCGAACGTTCAAGGTTAGCCTAGTAGTCCATCTGGCGGAGCCTAGATGATTACTTAGAAAATCCTGCCTGGCAGTCAGTCTACTGCGTCCGTATTGGTGCATTCCGTACATGCAGTAAAGTTGGGCAAGCAACTCGACCCAAGTGTGATGAAATTCACGGCGCACGGTGAGCCTCCCTGCTCAACGGTAGAGCGTTGGCTGCGCAAAAGCCTTCCCTGCTGTGCGGATTCGACTTCCACCGAGGCCGCGAATTTTCCACAGTTGGGCCAAAATAAAGTCTGCCAACCATGGAGACGGCTAGTTTATTTTTATTTATTCGTTCAATGTGATTTCAACCACAAAATCCATCTTTTTCCTGTATCGAGAGATCCTCCTTTGTCTTCTGTCACTTCCTTGTGTTAAATGCAAACTGACTGTGGATATTATTTTTATATCTGGGTTGTTGAAATGATAAAAGATGGTTTGGAGACCGCAGGTGAAGAAGCAGGTTGTTGTCTCCGAAAGTGATGACCATTCAAACTGTCAACCGTTGACCGTTCTTGAAAGTTGAAGTCGGCGGAGTGTAATCCCATAGAATGTTCTTTAAATATATGACCGTCTAAGACGGCTTCGTAGACTTGTCCACAAATATGACCTCATCGCCAAAGTAAAAGTGACCTCTGGTGAACCATTTTT